CCTAAACCCTAAGTCCTAAACGCTTAATCCTAAACCCAACACCCTGAATGCTAAACCCTCATATCATGCCGAGAATTCTATAAGAACTATGCAAAGATCATCTGCCAAAAAGTTCAAGCCCCTGAACGCCTATAGCCCCGCTAAATAGATAGGGTGTAGGGTTCAGGATTGCAGGTTTAGGTTTTAGGTTTAGGGTTTCAAAGTAACAAGATCTCTATATACCCCATTATCTATCTACTTTTTTGGGGGGTAATCCTAACGAGAACCCTAAATTCTATGATGACTGAGGCAAGAACATGGCGGCGATGACCACGTCAGACAAGAACCTTGCACATCCGCAGGAGAGGAGCTTGTTGCGAGGGTCTTTAGGGTTGTAGGAGCATATAGGGACTTGCAGAGATCATAGGTAACAATGCGTTTACAAGAATTGCATAGGGGGGTTATGGGGGTTTATAGGGGTGTAGGGTTCCGCAGAGTTTTTAGGCTTTTGGAGCTTCAGGCTGCGGGCTCCGGGGTTTGTGCTTTGGGGTTCAGGGTTTTGGACTTAAGGTCTATAGGGTTGAGGGTTTAGGGGTCGTAAATACAACCTTTTTTTTTTTTCTTTCTTTTTTCCTTTTTTTTCGGTTGCAGGCTCTAAGACGAAAACCCATACCTAAACCCTGTAAGATACACGCCCCAAATCCCTAAGAAAAATAAGAACATGATTCTACTCTATCATCTTAGGATTTAGGGTTTATGGCTTCAGATTGGCAACAAACCGGTTTTCTGATAGCCAAGGCAGCCCAGAGCGTCGAATCATGCACTGGTGGCTGCCAGGTTTAGGGTTTAAGGTTTAGGGTGTAGGAAACCCCAAACTTACATAACACCCCAAACCCTTAACCTAGCCCCTATAACCTGCACCCCAAAGAGTAGGTAAAATGATGGCCCAAATGCCCTAGATATTGTCCAGGAGGCCATTATACTTAGGCAGCACAAACCCCAAAATCACTGAAGCCCAAAGCCTGCACTACTAACCATTGAAACGGGCCTTCTGTGGGAAGGTTGGGGCTTTGGGTGCTAAAGCTTGGAATCTCAAAACCCTGAAACCTAAACCGCATGGGGAATCAAGGGTTTAGGATTTAGGGTTTAGGGGTCTGTAGCTCCCTGCCCCTGCTGGACGTTGATACCTGCAGCCCCTCGCCTCGCCAAGTGCGGTTAAATCACCTTCCTGAAGTGATCAGCGTGATTCAAGGCCCGAATGTTTAGGGTTTAGGGCTTCTGGGCTTCTGAAGTGAATAACGCCTCAAACCAAAGCCCCCAAGATCCGAAAGTCCTGATTTGCACACTAAAATAAGTGTAGCCAGTACTGCCCTCCCTGACAAGTAACCCTTAGCAGGGGCAACATACTGGACATTCAACGTCCTGATGCCTCGGCAACTGTCGAAATGCATGTTGGAAGGCTTGAACCAAATAGTTCTAACCTAGACTTCTTCCTCCCTCAAACAAATGGACACCAAGTAGATGCCCTCAAGAGCTTTTAGAGACAATTGTTTGGGGTAGCTTCCAGCTTGGTCCCGGACTCGTAGGGACCGAAATAGGAGTTCCTCCATGTATCAACGCCTCAGTGGAGGCTGGGTTTTGCTGGCAAATTCGGCGGCTGAGAAGCTTGCCCTAGGGATCCCAATAGGTATTAGGGTTTGGGTCTAGGTGCAGGTAAATGTTTACAGACTTTCGGGCCCAATGTAGGTAATATGTAAAGACTTTAAGGCCCAATGTAGGTAGTATTTGTATACTTAGATCCCTACGAGTAGGGCTTCTGAGCGTTGGGATACCGATTTCGGAGCCTCTGAGCAGATTTCAAGAGGGTGAGCAATGGCAACTGGGGAGTGCGCCTCCATACTGCTCCCATGCTAGTCCTGCACACCTCTATCGCTGTTACCTAGACTCCCCACTTGCTGAGCTTCAGCTTAAACCACAACCTTAAGATTCTTCTCATCTTTGGGCAACCACACGCTTTAAGATTTGAGCTTGTTGAACCGCAGGCCTGCGCAGCGAAAAATGGCAACGCTTATGGTGCCAGAAGACCAACAATGGGACTTGCGGATAGCATCCTGCCTCCCCTGAACTACTAACACATAAACCTTCCTGATTACAGGAGAGTAGCTTGTCGGTTCCATGTTGGGTGGGCAATCCCAACCCATTGGGAACTCCGAGCACTCCATCCCGGATTTGGAAAACAACATACTAGGTCCTGTTCAGGGCTTAAGATTGGTTCAGGGTTTAGGGTTGTTGGGTTTATAGAGTTGAGGCTTTCGGGACGGCTTAAGACTCTGTAGTCAAAGTTCTGACTTCGATACTAGAGATCATGAGACCAATCGGCGCAAGCACATGTAAAATGTACTGCCAAACCGAGGCCTACATTCACATGTTAGTACTATCATTATGGGTTCCCTATCAAGGGGTTTATAGGGGTTGTATATGGATAATGGAAGAAAAATGGAAACTACTGTTTAGGAATATGGGGTTTAGGGATCAAAAGCAGGAATGCCTAAGTTGTCTGGGTTCCCTGCGCTTGAGAATGAGGCCAAACCTCGCGGCGGTTTAGGGAGGGGGGGATCCGACAATTTTGAGATTCAAGGGCTTAGGGTTAGGGTTTGGGGTGTGGGTTAAGGTTGGGGTTACCGAATAATCGCTTTAGAGCTTCTTGTTTAGGATTTAGGGTGTAGGATTGCGGGGACCCAAGCAATTTCAATCTGATTTCTTGGGGGATAGATTCTCAGAGAAGACTACAGGGGATGTGCGGAATCACCGTAAACCCTAGACCTCCAAACCCTAAATCATACAGTGAGGTACTCAGGCTAAGCAATTAAGGGGAATCGCCCTCCTCGAGTTTAGGGATTAGGGCCAAAAACAGGCTTGTTGCGTTAGAGTTGAAGTCCTTAACGGCCTTAGGCACTAAAGCTTGAGCAGGTAATCTGAAACAATGCGCTTTTCGTGGACCCTACGGATGTAAAGCTTGCTGCCCAGCACAACTCACAGCGCAGAATCTCTTAACGTTGATACCAGAAACGAATTGCATGGGAACCGCATAGCCCAAAGAAGGTGCCATCTATAGATTCATGGCCCAAAGCAGGGATCCCAAGATGAAGGAACCTTTAGCTGGGTAAGTCCCCCATGTAAGCCCACAGGGCCCTGATGTAACTTCTACCCCCCATTTTGGTCATGTAACCCTGATGTAGGATCATCCAGTTGAAGATCTTCTCACGTGAGCTACCTTCCTGGTAAGGTACAGGTGTACGCCTGAACCCTAAACCCTAAACCCTAACAGACGGTGCCTAATCTTCGGATCCTCAGGGCACAAGGGTTCAGTACTGACGGCTTTCGGTTCCACATTGCATGGTAGAAGCTGGCCAAGGCTTTCCATCCACTAATGGGGTAGACATACGGCTTAGGGTTTAGGGTGCAGGGGTTTAGGAATACAGGGTTTAGGGTCTAGGCTGAAGGGCAAGTCCCAAGACAACTTTTAGCTTACGGGCATAAAAGACTTGCATCATTTATACATGAAGCTCCTTGCGGTACCCATGTAACTCCTTGAATCCCAAAACTTCCACGGAAACGCAACCCTCAGAAAAGATGGAATCCAAGACCCTTAATGCCAGAACCCTCAACCAAACACCTTGAATCGTACCCTACACCTCAGTTCTCAAGCACAGAACCTTAAGACCTAAACCCTACTGTAAAGTTTTGGATTGCTGTCCCTACTTGATGGATTTTGTAGGGATAGATGGGAAAACTACCAAATCCTAAGCCCTGAACCCTAAATCGTCAAGCCTTCATCCCCAAATCCATTTATCCTTGACCCCTAATCCTAAACCTTTTGTCACTTCATTCCATGAATCATGAACCATAAGCCTCTTCACCCTAAGCCCTGAGCCCTGGGCTCCTGAACTCCCACTTTCATCCCTCTGAGATCAGCACAACACCTTCCTGAAGCTCCTCGCTTCCTCCGGCTCCAGAGTACTCCCTGGCGGTGTAGCTCAAACAACTTGAGGGTTTAGGGCTTAGGGATTGGCTTCTACAACATCTTACGAGCTTTAAGAAAACGGATGTGAGGATTTAGGGGCTCAGGATTCTTCTAGCGTTCTCTATCCGAGTTTGGAAGGGGATTCATTAAAACCCCGAAAAATAGGAGTCATATGTCTCAAGTACATAGCCCAGGTCCCCCACAAAACACCACCCAAATAGGAATCGTACCATCAATAACCCATTGCTACATTGGGGAAACTAGGGGATTATTGCGAAGTTCCATTTTTTAGATCCTTTACGGGGTCTTGGAACTGGAGCTCCCAAAAAGGGATCCCTCATGTCGTGAAAATGCTTTCGGAGTGGAGGGTCCTGTCTTCAGAGCCGCTACCTGCTACCTAAGCCCCGAAAGTAAGTAAAACAATGGCCCACAACCTTTCAAAAACGCAAAAGGCCACCGTTTTACGTACTTTTTGGGCTCACGTACTTCTAGGCCTCAGGTTTCGAGGGCTCGACTTGCGGATCGAAGAACAGGAGAGATTGTTTTATAGTCGGAGAAACGCGCTAGCTTTGCGTTCTTCAGGCTTCATCAAGTAGAAGTCCAGAATCTCCATGAAATCACCACTCCCAGTCAAAAACGCGTGTAGCAAACACTTCCTTCATAGCTCCCTCAGTGGATGGGATGTGCTCCCAAAGTTGGCAGTCTGGGATCACAATGGTGCAATGGGGATGCAATGGGGATGCACAGGGGATGAAGCAGCTTGCGACAAATCTGCTATCCGCTTCTCATCACATGTGCTATAGCTGCTATAGTCTAAACTCCTAGCATCCCCCTTTAATAGCCTCCTGTAATTAATATTCCCTTAAAAAGGCCTCCTTTCCTGAGTTTACAGTATGGCTCATGTGGATGCGTTTGTCCTCTTGGGGGAAGCTATAGGTGAAAGGATCCTTCTTGTTGCCCATGCCATCCACCCGTCCCAATGCCTGTTCTAGCTGCGTCAAGAAAGCGCTCGCTCCACTGGTCTGCAGAGTGCTGTCATACAATCCATGCGTTTGAAGTCTCGAATAGCCTCACGAACTTCCCTGAGTCTGTCTTCGCTAGTCTCCGCCAACAGTGCCACAACTCTTGGAGGGGCATAAGGTATGCTTCTTCCGCGCAAAAGGGAGCGAACATAGTTCTCGGCAAACACACGGTCAGTCTGCACCCCTCTTATCTGCATCTGTTTTCGTAAGCTACTGAGATCCTCTAGCTTTGCCAGGCGATGAGCCCTCACCAAAGCTGTGTACGTCACAGTGTTCAGATCTCGGTCACAGAGCTGCTTGAATAAGAACGTGGCAGCTGACTTGCTGGGCGGATCAGCTTTGCTGCAAGCATTGATGGCAGAATTGAAATGGTGCACTTCAACGGTCAAATTGTTCTGAATCATGTAGTCCAGGCCTTCGGCTGCCCGCGCTATGTCGCCCATTTCAGCGGCAGCGTCAATACGCCCTCCGGCCCTAATCTCATCAGCCCAGTTGTGTTCAACGATCTCATTCCATATGTTGTCGACCTCCTGCGCTTCATTGAGCTTTCCACAGATTTTTTATACCCAGATGCAGGGTAACAGGAGATATGCGAATCTTCGGCATTCCCCTCAAACGCCTGTAAATATCTAGGGCGGCTCTATACTGGCCACAGCGATAGGCAGCTTGCATGGCTGCAGTGTACACTGGAAGTGCCGCTCCTGTATAGGAGGAGAACAAGCGGTTCACCGTCGTCCAGTCACCCTTCTTGCCACTTTCTGACAACCTATGTGTGAGGACTTTCTCCTTGTGGGACATGTTGTACACGAATCCAGGCTCACCCAGTGGAATCGGAACACTTATGCCCAGGCCTGCTTGCTCTCTGAAGACACTGGCGGTCACACCTAAACAGGAAGGGAAGCACTCTGCCATGCAGCATAGAACCACACCCAAAACAGCACAGGAGCGCAAACGATGCAGCGGAGGTCTGCAGGAAGCACGCGTGATACGCGTGAAACAAGACATCTGGCTGGGTCCTGTCATCTTATGTGAGAACGAATCAGCAAGGTTTGCTTGACTCGGCTTCTGTCAGTCAGTTCTTGTATGATAGCCGTGTACATCCAATGTGCTGAGAAAAGAGAGAACACCTTGAACTAAGCAGCATCTCATACATTGAAATCAGACTGCACTGTCGCCGCTACCAGTACCGTCAACGTCATCAGTGATTCTCATACTGCAGCTGGTAGACCCGTTTTGATGTCAGATGCTGATCGGACACCTCGAGCAAAGTAGTTGGTTTTCCTACGATTCGACCAGAGATCTGGCAAGGTTCCCACCCCGCACTGTCAGCTATTACAACGAATTTACGAAAGTTGTCTGAGCACTAAACCTTGAGCTGCAAACATCCAACACCTTGAAGACCCACGCTTCCTCAACAGCCCCCCAAGCTGTAATCTGAGCTAGTGACTCATACGACTCCCTAGATTTGTAGAATTTTTGTTTGGCCCAGATTTGAGGTCAACTATATAGCACCTTTCCAAGCAGAGGCCGTTTGGTGGCCAACGGCCAATTAAAAGTAAAGAAAGGCGACCCCAGACCTAAGATGGTAGGAAAGCTGTCCCTAAGGATCCAAGTATACAAAAAATACCTAAATTGAGCCCTAAAGTCTACAAATAGTACCTACATGGAGCTTAATCAGGAGTTCAGTTCGAAAGGTCGAGGTTTAGAGAGACTCAATGACTCGACAGCTCTTAGAAAGGAAGCAGGGGAGCTGATTCTGAAACCTTTTGCTTAAAAAAGTCAAGGATTAATAGAGACCTGGCCTCTGAGAACCTCTCTTCACGTTCTATGGCATTATCGAAATTGAACCCCTCTAGAATATCAAAGCGCCGAAGCCAACAGTTTAAATATTCGAGGTACTCAGTTTGCTTTAACTCTCACTCCTTAAGTCTTCCTCCTCTTCCTCCTTCGTCTCTCTCTCTCTCTCTCTCTCACTCTTACACAGCACATACAATGTTATAGGTTTCGGGAGCTTTCGATTGTGTCAGGCCCAAAAGCGTGGCTGCTCTGGGGGTGGCTTCTTCCGTCCTCTTCTGCGGATTGGAACCCCCAAGCCCTAAACCCTAAAACCTAAATGGTAAGGGAGGCCTTTTGCTCACGAGCAAGGATTTAGCCCTTTCAGGGCCCAGGTCTTCCAAAAATACTGCTTTGCTTGAAGGAAGGAAGAGCTCTATCAGCATACAAGCACACACGATCAAACTTTTTGACGGCTTATTAGTTGCATGTAGGGCATTCGCAGACCGGAAGGGATTGCCGTTCCTTCAGCGCCCAACCCTCTTCCGGAGAAGTTAATGTGCCGGCAGCACGAGCCGAAACGTACAGCAGCCCTTGGAGCGTAGATTTGGAGAAGACTTCGGACACCTGCTGGGTGCACTCGTGCTTGCTACGCCTAGCTGCTTTGAGAACCCTTTTTTGTGGGGGGACAGCGCGGCATCTAAAAACCACACTTCGGGACGCTAGATCCAGGGGCGCCTTCATCTGCGCTGATGTTAACGAACCCCAATTCAGCGATCATCATCATCATCATCATCATCGTTATCATCATCTGCCAACCGTTTTATCTATGCATCCTATCTTGGTAACTCAATTAAGATCCTTATCCCTATAGAGCTCCATGTCTATGAATAATACCTACATTGCGCCCTCAAATCTTTAAAACTGTCCTACATCGAGCTATTTCAAGCCTGTGGGTAAGATAGAACCTCTAGCTCTAAACTCCGAAAGCTGAACCCCTAAATCCTAAAACCCTGACCCGTGAACCCTGAAACCCTAAATCCTAAACTCTAAACCTCTAAACCCCTAAACTCTACACCCTAAACCCCCTAACCCTAAACCTCAGGATAACCGCAACCCTTCATTCCTTACAAAATATAGGAGCTGTGCCCTGAAGTTTCAGTTACAAGGGCTTCCCCTAAAGGTCCAAGTACCCAATAATCAGGTTTAGGGTTTAGGTTTTAGGGTTCGGGCTTTAATAGTAATTGTAGTACAGGTTGCGGTGAAGTATATGATTATTGGGCACATAGACCCCCACACTACGTGTGCGTCCTTGCATTTTGCAGGTGGATTTTTAGAGGTGAGGCGAGGCGCTTGAAAGATGACAGCTTTGGGATGTACAGGGATTCTGATTAGGGTGTAGGGATTAGGAGATAGGATTTAGGGTATAGCGTTTCGTGATATGAGCTACAGCTACAGCCAATATTTCCGACCCAATTTAATGGACATGGGTTCCTTATTAGGGACTATATTAGGGACTAAACTAAACTACAAGAGGGACCCCTATGTCCACTGGTAAGGGCCCCTTAATAAGGCTAACATTGACCGTAGCTCATATCACCCTGAAAATTGGATAATCACACGGAAAGCACAAGGACAATTTGATTGAAGGCGTGCGGGTCTGGAACTTTTGGTCAAGAGTTGGGACGTTGTTGCAATGCGCACCCTATGAAGAAAGTAGTACCAGAAAAGGTTTAGGGTTCAGGGGTACCAGAAACGAAAAGGCTTCTGGACTCAGCGGTTGTGAGCGCAAACTTCATCAAAGTTCCTATCTCTGACTTCCCCACCAAGCTTCACCCACAAAATAAACCCTGACCCATCATGTAACCTAGCGTCACCAAGCACACATCTGCAAGAGTGATAGTTGCATTGCAAGAGAATGCTGATTTGTCATGCTACCCATAAGCACACGGCATGCAAGTAGAACAAAATAGAATAATGTAGACCCCTGATTAATTAACCCCCCCTCCTTTTAAGGGCCTTAATCTTAGGATCCCTCTTATGAATCAGGGTCTGGGTCATCCCGAGCCTGAAGCTAAGGATTTTGAGAAGGCGGCCCAAGTAGAAACCAATGAACGGCCTCATCCAACTCGTAGAGTGACGATCCAAAGGCTTCAAGCCTCGTCGATAGGGGTTATATGGATAATGGAAAACAAAATGGGAACTATAGGGTTACAATGTTACCAGGGTTATATAGGGGTTATAGGGATTATATCGGGGTTATATTGGGGTTGTGTGGGGATATTGGAAACTAAAATGGAAACTACTATGATGGGTTATATAGGATTGAATCTCCAGCTCCAAGCAGGGTGGATTATAGTCGCCAAGGGAGCGCGTGGAAGTATGTTGAGACTTGCTCAGAAATCTCACCCATTATGCCCCGCGATAACACTTTGGATCAAATTGGTGGGGCCTACGTGTCGGAAGGTAGTTTGCAGTAGCACTGCCTTCGAGGAAGCTGATCTGGCGAGTAAGTTTGGATCCTCAATTGGGAACCTTCCGAAAGCAGGGATCTTCCTTAATTATGTGCCGCCAAGTACTCTAGTCATGGTTATAGGAACCTTCCTAGAAAGGGACCCCTAAATCCTGGAAACTCCCACTTAGCGTCATCCAAGAAACCTTAAACCGTAATCTCTATGAATCTCAAGGTTCTCTGCTCCAAGCTGTGGAGCTCTAGGGAAACGCCAGGGACGAGCATGCAAAGATAAGGAGCACAACATGTAGCGTCTCCACATTTAAGAAGATGATGTAGAGCTTTGAGTAGCACAGGAGCAAAAAGCGTCCCCCTTTTCACCATGAACAAGCTTGGTGGAAGGGACCTGGCATTCTGCAAGGAAAAGAAAACAAGGTTTGACCTGTGAATTCAGAGCTAGATCGAAGGCAGGACGGCAGCAGTGCACTCCACATCTGGGAACATGAATTTTCCGAACTTTCTATGACAGAGACGCCCACATAGTCACCCAGTTTTGGAAGCTGCAACAAAACGCCTCAATTTGGCGTTCAATTAGGGAGTGTCTCTCTGTACCACGCAGAAGCCCATTAATATTCCCTATAGTAATCCCATCTGTAATCCGCTTTAAGGGGTTTAGACTAGAGCTCATTCCAGATCGCATGAGGGATGGGCTTGTGGTAACCGCAGCCCCTTCGTCAAAAGCCGTTAATAATCTAAAAGACTCTAGTCATGCAGAAGATTTACCCTCTCCAAACTCACTTGGAACGTCTATAGACTCTATTGCCCCTCTGAAAAGGGCAAGCGTCTTCATGGCACTTTTGGGGCTTCAGTGTCCCCGTCCTCAAAACCTCAGGCCCTGAACCCAAAACCCCAAACCCAAAAAAACACAAAACCCCAAATCCTAAATTCCTAACCCCCAAAACCCTAAACCCCGAAACCACCCAAACAACCTAAACCCCAAAACCCTAAATCGCTAAGCCCCTCAAAACCCCTAAAGCCTCAATCCCTAAAGCCCCAAAGTCTAAAGCCTATATAACCCAATACAGTAGTTTCCATTTTCTTTTCCATTATTCCTATATGATCCCAATATACACCCTAAATCCCCTTTCCAAGCTTTGAGGGACGCACCACTTCTGCACCAAGTCCCGGCCTGGGCGAACCAGGAATACAGGGGTTTCG